TATGAAGTAAAAAAAATTCATACATACATACATACCGTTGTTCACGTTTTTTATACAGTGCATGTCGTCATCATCAATGCAAAAGGTCTTATACATACATATGAAAATTTTTCTGAATGTATTTGCTTTATTCCGTTGATTTTCCTTCTGATTCATACATATGTACACCACCATACCGAAATTTCAAGCCATATTTGGCAAAAACATGAGATCTTTAAAACATCTTTAAAAGCGCTTTCTATGTTAACATAAAAAGTGTTTGCTTATCCTGTAAAATTTCCCTAAAAAAAAAAAATAAATAAAAAATAAAAATAAAAAGAGTTGTTTTTCTCTGAGCAAATGAAAATACAACTCGGTTCAAAATTATAAGCGCAGCGGTTCTTGACAAGTTTTAAAAATTTATTTGTTTGCTATGTTTCATAGAACTATATTCACATAGTTTATACCTTAACACAAACTGTTTAAATCCAAGTTTTAAACCTTGTGAAATATTGGAAAAATTTCAACAAACTGTCGTAAAAAATTTAAGCATTTTAATTCGACTTATTTGTTTATTTCATAAGTTATTTATATAATGATAATAACTGAAGTAAATTTTCAAGGGTTTTCAAGTAAAAAATTTTTAAAGGACGTTTTCCATACCCAATCGTCCTTATGCATACAAAAATGTAATCATTTTTAATCATACAGAACTTTCTCTTCTATTTGCTATTCTACATTGCACTGAATTTCTTAAAAATTTTTTGGAATTGATTTCTACATAGGCGTAATTAATGTCTGATTTGTCTATTTCAACTCCATCTGGCTTAATCGATTTGTATTTTCAATTTAGTACATACATACAAGTAAGACCTTGAGAGGCAGCTTGAGTACAACTTAAAATTCAATACCGAAATCGAAACAGTAATAGCCCCAGGAACGCCCTTTTAACTTTCTTTTACTATAATAGAGAGCATCGCGTAGGTGGAATGAACTTTTCAGCAAAATACCATATTTATTATACATAGATCCTTATTTGTTGCAATAAGAGGAAAGAGGCCGAAAGTGAGTGCTTGAAGTGCTTCTAACTATGTACGAAGAGTTTGAAATGCTGGCCGACTGGAAAAACGCCCGAAAATTTTATCAGAGACAGAGAGTTAGCAACTTTTTAATGGTGAAAATGTGCTCTGAGTTTTACTTTTGTGTCTCAGGCTGCATTTGAAGCCTTTGTAATGTAAAGGTATTGCCCGAAGAATACTAGTAGTAGCTAACGTTGCCTCGAGATAAGTACATTCATGTGAAATCGCCAGACAGCCGATTTCGCCCTCAACAGAGTTATTTGCTATTTCGGTTCTGGATCTGTTATCAGAACTAAATAATAAACAATTTTCAGTCGGACTTCGAGTGCTATGCTATAATTTTATGGTTGTATTTTTACTAGGGCGATTACTTTATAGTCTTTTATTTAAACACCGTCGATGGTTCATTAGTTTAAGCATTCGATTTGTAATGCATATGTTTTTGAAGCGGTACAACCAGTCAGAAAACTAGTTGGTGTAGTAAAACCTAAACTGGATATTTTTAATTCAAATACCTGTCTTATATTCATAGGGTTTTTCTTTTGATGGAATGAGTTTCAAAATACTGCATACATACTTTATTTTTTAGGATGCAACGAAATATATAAATTTAATTCACTTCTAACTAGTGATGTGCTGAATTGCCGGTACACAATAGAAATATTTCGGTACCCAGTACTCCCTTTTCGGTACCCATTACCGATTCTATACATAATTACAGCTTTTTGACATAATTTTCAACAGAATGTCTGTCAAAAAAGCAGCATCGACTTCATTTCGACCACGAATATGCTTCACAATTAGTACGAGTAAGACGATGCTTTCCCAAAAGTTGAACAATTTTTACAAAGCAATGTGGAAACCACATAGTATGTATCAAAACACTCTCATCGCCTTCTTGATATTGTCGCAACAGTAAAATACCATTTTATTAGTTTCCACCTTCGTAGATCTAAAATTCAAGAAAAATGCGTTGACGGATGAGGAAAGTCTTTCAGGCCTACAAAGATAACATCGTCCGATTCAGCTAGAAAAAAAAAGTTTCAAATAAGGAAGATTTTCTCTGCATTGTGGCGATGGAAAATGTAAATATGCATATTTTTCATTTAGGTCAGCACTAAAACCACTATTAGCCCCTACACTTGCTTTTGATAGGCTAGGCTCCCCTAAAACGCTTTTATTTTTGGTCTACATGCGTTCCTATTGGAAGTCTAAACGTTTCGGTACCGAGTATCGATCAATACTTTAAAGTAACGACTCAGCACATCACTACATCTAACTATGTATATTTTCATCTTAACAATCCTTCATACTTTTCTACATACATAAACACACCTGCATACTAAGTATAATAATGATTACGCTTTCATATCGTCCCAATTTTAGAGTTTGGGTATATTGGGTTCCGTGCCGGCCGCGCTCCTCATCATCTCTCTACTTGGATTGCTACTCTACTTAATGACACGATGTTGTGACAGGAAACCACGACCAGCTCATTCCATTACAAGTTTAAAAGTTGCTCTATCCATTGTAACGGTAATGTGTTGCGCGGCAATAGGACTTGGTAAGTGTTTCAAATTTGTGATGTCAACTTAATTAAAAACTGTGGTGATTGGCAAAGG